GTCCTCGTCGTTGTCGTCGTCCTGGTCCTGATTCTGGTCCTCGTCGTCGTCCTCGTCGTCGTCCTCGTCGTCGTCGTCGTCGTCGTCGTCGTCGTCGGCCTCCTCTAGATCCGCGGCCGTGAAACTTTTCTTATCGTTCGCGCTCCGACCCTCGTGCGTTCCTGTACGGCCTTCAGACAGCAGCGAGACGGTCTCGCATGCCGGGAAACGGCCCGCGACTTTAATCCTCGCCACACTCGCTTTCGGGTTACCCGCGCCGGTAGACACAATCTCGGTAGACTCGGCCTGAGCCCCCCCGAGTAACTCGCCAAGACCGAGACACTGGCGAGCGCTCTGCGGCGTTGCCACACTTCCGTCGTCGCGGTGCACGCGCGACCAGAGTGGGGATTTCTGGACTGGTTCGGGTTTGGGATGGTAGAGAACATCGGGAGAGGACGCGAGAGCGGAGAAGGTGCCGTGGAACGAGCCGCGGTGGGGTGGTAGTGGTGGTGGTGGCGGTGGCGGTGGCAGTGGCGGCGGCGGCGGTGGTGGTGGCGGCGGTGGTAGCGGCGACGGCGGCGGCAGCGACGGCTGCAGGGGCGGATGCATCCGCAAGGGCAACGTCGTTGGGTTGCGTCGTTTCCCGCTCATGACTCCAAATCATCCCCAGGATGCAAAGGCAGAGAAGAAATTGTTCAAAGATCCTCCAATCGAAGCCTGCTGCAATTTAACACGACTGGAGTTAATACCTGACGGCTTAATAACATAGAAATTTTATAATATTCTTATTTTTAATTTAATCTAATTATTACGTAATTTGTTAATATATCAATTTAACTCCTTTTTGTTTTTTTTCAGAGCGTATCTTGTGTCAATTTGATCGGCTCGTTTCTATTTGAATGCTTCCAATATATCGATCGATTTCGATATATCGTTTTACGAGAGATGGCGGATAAACCTTGGAAAACATTCGGGATTCGAATTTATTCCATAGCTAAAGAATCGTTCGAGGAAGGATTAATTCATCGCTGACCATCTCCGGCGGAAGATATTATTTTCATATGTTCAAACGGTTAGCATCGCCTCGTAGTTCGGCTTTCGAATTTTATTGTTCCGAGCATGATGCTTTATCAAATCTCAATCGAGATCATTATGACCGAAAGATTTTTTTATTTTAAAAACTAGAATCCTATTATCCCGATTGCCCGCGAAATCAGTAAAAGTGTCGAGGGCAGCTGAAACTCCGCGTTCGTTCCTGATGAGAGGAGGTTGGTGACGGCGATGGTGGTGGCGGCGGTGGAGAACGAGACGGCCGGCGAGGACCGATGGCAGGAAGGGGAGGGTCGAGAGGAGGCGAAGCGAGGAAGTTATGTTCGTTGAACCGGTGGAAGGGATTTGATTCCGCGCCGTCGGGGAACGGATGGTCCACGCGGTGGGGCGGCCTTTCGGCGTAGGGGAACGACCGGGTGGCGGGGAACCGTCCACGATCGCCTTTCCTCTCTCTCTCTCTCTTTCTCTCGGGCCGTCGCACGTTCCTCCTGCCGTCCTCCTCCCCCGCCCGACCCTCCGCCACCCTACCCCGCGATGCGATCCTCTCTCACCTCCCGGGAGCCGACGTCGTACCCCTGATGCGCGCTGCGCCGTGATGCATCGCGCTGGCGGCGGCATCGCCTCTACGAGTCACAAGGTATGCTCGTGCCGCGAATACGAACTGCCTCTCCCAAATCAATATCACTCGTACGAAAAAAAA